AGAAAGCAGCCTTGGTGTGTGAACACTGCAAGAAGAAGGGGCATGTCAAGGATAAATGCTGGATTTTACACCCTCACTTGAAGCCAAACAAATTCAAGGAGTCAAGGAACCAGTACCAAGATGCAAATGCTCACTTCTCACACGATGTAGCAGAATCATCTACTCCCTCTCTTTGTGCATCAGTGTGCTCTAGCTCTGGTATGGGCAAGGCCATGACCTCTCACGCCAAAAATGATGAGCCACTCACAAGGTCTGATCTGGATGCAATCATCAAGGCTCTAAAAGAAAGCTTTGGTATTTCTAACACCCTTGGTATCTCTTTAAATGCATCATACACTGCTGGAGTTTCAATGAATGCTTTCCATAACTCTAAACCATTGGTTACAGACTCAGGTGCATCTCACCATATGATTAGTGATCTTAACTTGATTACTGATAACCAGTGGTAGGCAATGTTATGATAGCTAATGGAGATAAAATACCTATTAAGGCTGTAGGAGATTTGAAACTGTTTGATAAAGTGTCTAAAGCTTTCTATATGCCTACATTTGCATCCAATCTATTGTTTGTGAAAAGGGTAACCACTGATCTTAATTGTCATGTTACATTCACTACTAATGAGGTTTATTTTCAGGATATTGAGAGTAGTAAGTTGCTTGGCAAAGGTGGATCCAAGGGAGACTTGTACTTGCTTGAGGATACAAAGCCAGCTTCTGATTTATCTTTTTTTTTTAATGTTGTTTCTGATTTCCCTAAAGATGTAATATGGCATGCTAGACTAGGACACCCCCATTCTCGTGCCTTGAACATCCTGATTCCTAGTGTATCTTTTAAATCTGATTGTGAAGCATGTATCTTAGGCAAACATTGCAAGTCAGTGTTTCCTAAATCCATGACTATTTATGAAAATTGCTTTGATCTTGTGCATTCTGATGTGTGGACTGCCCCTTGTGCATCTAGAGAACAACATAAGTATTTTGTCACTTTTATAGATGAAAAATCTAAGTACACATGGATCACTTTGTTGCATTCTAAAGATAGGGTGCTAGAAGCTTTTAAAAAATTTCAAAGCTATATAACTAACCACTTCATGCCAAGATAAAGATATTCAGATCATATAATGGAGGAGAATATACTAGCAATGCATTCAAACAACATCTTGCAACCCAAGGCATTATTCATCAAACCAGCTGTGCTTATACACCCCAACAGAATGGCGTGGCTGAGAGGAAAAATAGACACCTCATGGAGGTAGCTAGAAGCATGATGTTCCACATGAATGTGCCCAAGAGGTTTTGGGGAGATGCTGTGGTGACTGCCTCCTACTTAATCAATAGGATCCCATCTAAGATCTTGAGTGATCTATCCCCTTATGAGGTACTGAACAAAACAAAACCCTCTATTGATCATTTACGTGTGTTTGGGTGTGTGTGCTTTGTGCTTGTACCAGGTGAACAAAGGAATAAGCTAGAAGCTAAGAGCACCAAAGCCATGTTTTTAGGGTACTCTCCTACACAAAAAGGCTACAAGTGCTATACACCAGATACAAGGAGGGTTATGATCTCTAGGGATGTCAAGTTTCTTGAGTACAAGAGTTACTATGACAAGGAGAGTTGGGATGAGCTTAAGGAGTTATCACACTCAGCCTCGGATAGAGCAAATAATCTGAGGGTGCTCATGGAGAACCTTGGCATTAGTCTACCTAAGAGGAGTGGGGAGGTCCGTGGGAGTGGTCTTACTGAAGAAGGACAGCCACCAGAAACAGCCACAACATCCTGATCCTGAGGGGGGCAAGGATACTGAACACCAGCAACAGCCGCAGCAACAACAATCTCAAGAAGAATCAGAACCTGGAGAAAATTCAGTTGGTCATGATCATGATGAGATAGTTCCAGAAGCTGACACTCAAGCTGATGCTACACAACAAGGAAATGAAGAGGAGACCAATCAGATACAGCCTTTGAGAAGGAGTACAAGGATAAGAAAGGATCCCTCTAATTGGATAAACACAAGAGTCTACTTCAATGCTGAGGCAGTAGCTCATCCTACAAGGGCAGTATGCTCTCTTGCTCATTATCCAGAAGCACATCAAGTATTCATTGGAGAATTGGATCAAGAATACATTCTAGAACCTATGAGGAGGCTATGCAGCATAAGAAATGGAGAGGATCTGTTGAAGATGAGATCAATGCTATGATCAGAAATGAAACCTTGTTTGAGAGTGAGCTTCCCAAGGGTAAAAAGGCAGTAACAAGTCGCCTAATCTACACCATCAAGTACTTGGCAAATGGAAAACCAGAAAGGAGAAAGACAAGGCTTGTAGCAAGATGATACACTCAAGTCTATGGTGAGGATTATCTAGACACATTTGCTCCAGTATCTAAGCTACACTCCATAAGAATTCTCTTGTCCTTGGCTGTGAACTTGGAATGGGATCTTTGGGAAATGGATGTCAAGAATGCATTCCTTCAAGGAGAGCTAGAGGATGAAGTATACATGAGACCACCTCCTGGTCTTGAGCATCTGGTCTTGAGCATCTAGTCAAACCCGGAAATGTCTTGAGACTTAAGAAGGCAATATATGGTTTGAAGCAATCTCCAAGAGCATGGTACCATAAGCTGAGCACAACCTTAAATGGAAGAGGCTTTGTCAAATCAGAAGCTGATCACTCCATCTTCACACTAACCAGCAACCAAGGGATTGTAGTCATTCTTGTCTATGTNCTTAAGAAGGCAATATATGGTTTGAAGCAATCTCCAAGAGCATGGTACCATAAGCTGAGCACAACCTTAAATGGAAGAGGCTTTGTCAAATCAGAAGCTGATCACTCCATCTTCACACTAACCAGCAACCAAGGGATTGTAGTCATTCTTGTCTATGTAGATGACATCATCATCACTGGTAGTGACAAGGGAGGTATCACCTCAACTAAATCTTTCCTTAAAACTGCCTTTGATATTAAGGATTTGGGAGAATTAAAGTACTTCCTTGGGATAGAAATGTGTCGATCTAAAGAGGGATTGTTTCTATCTCAAAGGAAGTACACACTTGATATTCTTAATGAGGCAGGTCACTTAGGAGGGAGACCAGCCAAGACACCCTTAAAAGAAGGGTACAAAGTGCTGAGAGAGGGGGAGTTTGAAGACACTCCCTTTGAAGATGTCAAGAGATATAGGAGAGTGGTTGGAAAGCTGATTTACTTAACCATCACTAGACCGGATGTGTGTTTTGCTGTGAATCAAGTGAGCCAACACATGCAAAGACCTAGGATTCATCACTGGAACATGGTGGAAAGGGTCTTAAGATACTTGAGAGAGGCTCCTGGTCAAGGAGTATGGATGGCGTGCAACAAGAACACAGAAGTGGTGGGCTATTGTGATGCAGATTGGGCTAGTGATAGAGTTGATAGGAGATCAACCACTGGTTATTGCACATTTATTGGAGGAAATCTAGTCACATGGAAGACCAAGAAGCAGAAGGTGGTCTCTTGCTCAAGTGCTGAGGAAGAATATAGAGCTATGAGGAAGCTCACAAGTGAACTCATTTGGATCAAGGGATTGCTTAAAGACTTGGGCATTGAGATCAGTACACCAATGACTATGCATTGTGACAATCAGGCTGCAATACACATTGCATCAAACTCAGTTTTCTATGAGAGGACCAAGCACATAGAAGTGGACTGCCACAAGGTGAGACAAGCAGTAGAACAGCAAGTGATCCTCCCATGCTATACAAGAAGTGAAGACCAACTTGCTGATATCTTCACTAAGGCAGCCAGCAACAAAGTTTGTGAGTCCATTCACCCTAGAATTGGACTCATAGACCTCTCATGTCACTAATCCCCTCATCATGGAGTATTCTACTCTTTCCTTGCTTAGTTTTTATCCCAATGGGTTTTGCTAAGTAAGGTTTTAATGAGGGAATGCTTCATGGTATTCCAAGCTTGACAGAATCACTATTGTCAAGCTTGAGGGGGAGTGTGAACATGAAGAAATAAAGGAGTTAATAAGAAGAGAAGAATCAGATGGTGCAAGTATTACCCAATCCGTACAAGACGTGTGAGACAAGTCTGGCCGTACAGTCTTGGGATTCAAGCAACCAATCTGACCTAATCTGGTTAGGAAGAAATGAGGAGGTAACTAAATCAGTGTAGGCTTGCTGGTGAAGAAGAAAGAGCCGTTGGAGAGCAAGGACAAAGGCTGGGGAAAGTGGGCAATTTAAAACAATATAAGTCACATGTTCACTTAAGCATTTGGAGCCTTATGGAGCTGTCACTATCTCCGACCAGACCATGATCCAGCAACCTTATTTTATGCCTATTCTCTTTGCCTTTCTTGTCTTTAAATATCCATTGTATGTTTCACTTTTGTAGCAAGGAAACATGATTCCTAATTAAGCATTTTATTCAGCAGAATCTCTCTCTTCTCTCTCTCACGGATCTTTACTCTCTCTCTCTCTTGTACTTGATAATTTTTGTTCATTCTCCACATATTATCACACTAAATCTTCTCATTCCATCATTGTGTAATTGAATTCCAGCAAGGGAAAAGAGGGTAGATGACGTTGACTGTTCTAAGAGCACTGCCGACGACGTTGAGTTAAGCAAGAATAATTTTTATTTCTATTAAAATTAAATTTTTAATCAAAAATTATTTTCTTGCTAAAAATAAATTTTACTTTGGTTTGGTCGGTTTAAAATTATTTGGTTAGTAATAAATAAATAAAATTTATGGTCTGAAGGTATCTAACTTTCGAACTATCAGTTCGGAGAGAAATAGATTTATAACAGTTAATTCATGGAGAAATAAATTATAATTTTTAATTCACAGATATCTATTACGAAATCAAAACTCGGTGACAGAATTGGTATTATATGATATTTCTCATGGGGAAATAGATCGTTGACTCATTATAGTTTGTGTGTACTTGAGGATGACACTATATATTAAAAATTGTTGTGTTGAAGGTTCTGATTCTTATATACCAGTATACATACAACCTTAGTGAAAAAAAGGTGGTGAATCCATGCATAGATGCACCAGCTTCTCCTGATACAGCTCGTAGAGTTTAGTAACTGCAATCACATCTTCATTGTCATCATCAATGCTCCAACTGTTTGCTAGAGTTTCTTGGCAGGCTAAAATGAAAATAGCCGCTGTCTCAGGCTGCTCAGCATTGCGAAATGCTGCTAGAGCTTCCTTAAATGCTCCTATTGCTAGATATAGCATCAAACCCCTACATCTTCAAAATCCTTATTAAGTTTACCTGAAACCTATTTCATAAGGTATACATTTTATCAAAATTAGGTCGCATTACATACCTCCAAAGGTCATGTTCAGTTTGCATGATGTGTTTTGCCCACCTCTGCAACACTCTAAGTACAAACATCATTTTATTTTTAAAAAACATTTGTTGAAATGTAATATGTATAATCAACAAATAAAAAAGGTGTTTATCTACAATGATCTAGATGATAAAATGTAGGGTTCATTTGCCAGATAACCCAAAAATAAAAGAAAATATATTTGTAGAGAGAGAAATAGGAAGAAAAGATAGGAGGTAGAAAATGTTAGTGACTTTGTGTTTTTTTGTATATTTGGCGTAAATTTCTCTAAAATGTATGGAAGCAATAAAAGCTGCAAAACTGGAAGGAATTTGGACAGCAACAAGATTAGAAAATTTTGACGAAACCTCATTCTACATTTATGTCTCTCCTGAAAAACACATGTTGAGGTCTATCTAGTCAAGAGCTCATCCCTTTTCTCCATGCTGGGAACTCAGAAAGATGCTGATGATGTTGCTCATGTCATCATTAATCTGGTGAGCAATGTGTAGCGGAGGATGAGAAGGTTTTTGGTGTCTCATGCCATTCCGTTCACTCCAATCCCTGTAGCTACTTATAGAAAGATCATTTGAAGAAGCATAGAGTCTGTCTTGTTTAGTCTACTCCTTGTAAGAGTGGTGAGAGTTCGAGCTGAGTTTTGTGTGATTCGGTTTCTCAGAAGATGTAAGCAAAGAATTGTCCACTGTGTGTAGAAATAAAGGCTGGCAAATAATAGGTGTTCTCGTGATTTATCTCCTTCTCTACAAAGCACACAGTGTTGTTCGATACCCCATGGTCGATTTTTAGTACATGTGGACAGCTTATCATTTCTAGCTAGCCAAACGATGAAGGCTTGACAAGGATTTGACTACAGAAACCAGATCGCTTTGTACAAGAGATCAGTCAGCTTCTTTTCTTGAATATGCTTTCACGCTATCTTACTGGAGAATAGGTGTTTGTAGCAATTTCCTTCATGTCTCTACAGGTAAATATAAAATCTTAGTGATGGATTTGGAGCTGGTGAGGCTCGATTCATTGTAACATTTCAGAAATATGTGCTCCCCTACATCGCTGAAGGTTCCATTTGGAGATTCTGAAACATTTGTGAGAATAGGAAGACCCAATAGTATGGTGCCCTCAGAGCCGGAAATTCCCATAATCCCCATAAGAAGCCAATTATCAAATCAGAAAGAAGGAAAATTACCATCGTGAATCTCAACGCGAAGGAAGAGAATACGCAAGTGGGCAAAGGTGAAGCAATTTGTTCCAGCGGCAAGAACCTCTATTATTTGTTGGGACATTCTAGAAGGAAACACTCCACAAGAGATAGGAATGAGACCAGGCGACCCGCAGCGAGTCTGATCCACTGAAGAGTTTCCATATTAACTTAAAAGAGAAAACCTGAGCCACATCATGGAGCATCTGTAATCCAAGCCCCTCTTCACTCTTAGGGAAACAAAGATTTTTCCAGACTACTTTTTCTTTGCCAGTGGTAAGAGGATAGCTTGACCATACAAAAATCTGAGCAAATACTCTTGATATTCTCATAGCACTTCTTTGGAAGGCGAACGATAGAGCTCCCAGAGTCGGGGATGCTTCCAACAACCGATTGAATCAATTGGAGCCTCCCAGAAAAGGATAGAGATTTACTTACTAACTATTACATACAAGTGCGGATTCTGACAATAAGTGGCTCATAATCTATTATGTAACTACTTTTGATCGTGAGGGTCAAACCAAGGTAGGTGACTGGTAATTAATCAATCTGGATCCCAAGCTCAGTGGCTAAGAGATGCAGTGTATCAAGAGTCAACCCAGTTTTAAAGAGCTAAGTTTGTGAAGCATTAATGGCAAAACCCAATTCTTGAGTAGTGGTACTCTTATGTTGATTTTTTTCTAAAGAGGAATAGAGGATCCATCCTAGAAAACCATCAGGTCATCCGCAAAACTTAAGTACGCAATATTATTTCTATGCACTTAGGAAGATAACCAATGCGACCCTCAGCAGCTGTTTGATCGACCCGAAGAGAAAAAAAAATTTATGGCAATCACAAACAAGTATGGCAAGAGGGAACAACCCTGTCTAAGGCATATTTTTCTTGTGAAGAAGTCTTCAAGTTTACCATTAAGACAACCCAAAAAGGCTGCAGTAGATCTACAACTCTGTATCCATTTTACAAGCATATTGGACAGACACATCGCCTGAAGAGTATACATGATGAAATCTTAGTTAACAGTATTAAAGGCTATTGATATGTCTAATTTCAGTGCATATTGATGTGAGATGGAGTTCTTATGATAGTACTTGACAAGCTCAGTAGTGAGGAGGACATTTTCAAGGAGAAAATGTCCCCGAAAAAAGACACTTTGGTTCAGAGTGATGGTTTTAGAAGGATGAGTTTCAGCCGATGTACCAAGATCTTGGAGATAATTTTAAAAGTTTATTACATCAGTCTATAGGCCTAAAACTATTCATAGACTGAGCATCAGTGATCTTAGGAATTCTATTCAAAATTGTGGCATTGACACCATGAGGCATAAAACAATTAGAGAATAATGATTGAATATCCACTGCAACATCTTTCCCAATGATTAATCAAGCCGCAAGGAAGAATTCCTTCGTGTACCAAGGGTTTTTTTGGATGGCATGGAGCGAAGAGCATGGATAATTTCTTCCTCAATAACTAGGCGAACAAGAAGCTCTGCCATGGCGGTTGGCAACCAAAAAAGGATATGTTGTCTTAACACCTCTGAATCCAAAGCAATTGTTTGAGATTATATTTTTCCTCTATAATGATCTCCATGTAAGAAGAACTAACCTTCTAATAACATATTTTCAAGTTTATTGTAGTAGTGCAATGATATAATGTAGTGTTGTGATATCCATATTTAAGTCTCATTCCTCGAGATTTTGTTTGAAAAAACTTTCCTTGATATCCGCAAGTGATTCCAGTTTTTCATTGCTAAAGCTCCTTTCTCAAATGCGGATTAGTTTGGGTAGAACAATTTACTACTTGGAACATATAATATTGTATGCCTCTTTAGTTTCTACTGTGATATCACAATATTGAGTTATGTTTAAAGCTCAAAGGCTAGGCTTTAGTAATTTTAACTTTTTGTGAAGAAGACGGAGGGCTTATTGGGATTGAAAAAGAAGCTTCATACCTTCCCAAACATCAGAAACCGTTGGTTCTGTATGATGAAGTTGAAGAGCTGGAAATGGTATCTCTTTGTTGATATTGCATTATCCATATGGACAAACACTTCCCGTGATACTTTGTGATAGAAAAAGGGATGGTGCTGATAGGGCCACATCAGCTCGACATGTCATCAAGATGGTGCAATTAGAGCTGGTATATCGTTAGAGAAAACTAAAGTTAGAATCATCAAAAATATCAAGAAAGATTGAAGAAGACAAAAAACTTTCATCTCTTTTATGAATGCGATACTCTGTGATTTTCTGGGAAAATCCCATTGTTCCACATCCTTGTATTTAAGTTGTTAACCTAAATGCTTGGTGGGAGAGAGTATTCTTTGTGTAATAACATTGGATTGATTTAATGTTCATCATCTGTTTCAGTCATCATTTTTTCTATTACAAAGGTATCAGAGCGTCTTCTTCCTCGAAATCTATGAAAACAACACATTCACAAGCTCTGCAAAGCAAGACAGTGGTTCATGGCGATAAAGGAACAAATTGATTCGTTGAATAGCACAATACATGCCTATCACAGCAGTATTAATGTGAAGTTGTGAGAATTGTTGAACGAATTTGTACTTTGATTATTCGTTGTCAAGTAGGGAAATGCATAGATGGATTCAGCTGATTAAATTTCAAAGATGGTTCTGAGCTGTGAAGCTTTGCCATTGGTTACAGGAACCTCTAACGAGGTAATAAATAAGGAAGAGGATAATTTGATTCATGTTATAGAGTTGAAGCTTAAGGATAAATCAAATTCTGAGAAAGAACAGCACAAGTTAGACTCCATGTAACAACGTGCCCACAAATCAGAGTCAAACGTTTGATAAAAAGGTGTCAATATCTCTTTCGAAACCATGCCATGGGGTAGAAGAATGGGAATATGTGTTTTTTTTAGAGCAATATAGGTTGCAATATCATGGAAGTTTTACTGAACTGGGAGTTTATGAATGGAAATCTCCAAAGATAGAATGCATATATGTTTTAGATGTTGACATGGTGGAAGAATTGATTCAAACATAAGATGCTAAGGTTGAGCTAGTTGCACACCACTTGTTTTGTATTTTACATCAGAGGGTTGTTTGTAAGAGGAAACAACTGAGATATCAAAAGAACTAGATATTTAAGTATAAAATGCACGATCTATGGAGATTCATGCCAAAAATGATCACTATACATCTATGAGAAAGAGGACTAAACCACCAACAATCTATGTGCTAGTGATCATGTGGGATCATTGGAGAAAAAGAGCACTTGTGTTTGTTCAAGAAGTCAACAATAGTTATGGTTCATGTACAACATTAAGGCCTTCTGGATAGATGTAGTAAAAATAAAGTTGAATTACAATGGAAAAGTTATGTATGAGTTCATGGGGATCGAGAGTGAACTGATTAGACTTGTTGATTCATCGGAGGAAAAGAGATAGCTTACTAAGATTGAATTTAACTTTTTCATGGGAGAGAAGTTTAGAACTCTAAAATATAAGGCCCGCTATGTTCTTATGGTAAAAATGAAAGACTAGGTTTTTTAGTATATGATGATGAATTATCTAAGATGTAAGGTTCCTTACTGGGGATTTACCACATTACGATTGCTAGAGATGCTCAATTATGTGGAAATTTGTGTTGTAGTTCATGATGAATCAACACGAATTTGTCTCTGGTTATTAAAATGAAGAGAGATTTTTATTGGAAAATATATGGAGAGAAAGGCTGGTGTTTACCTTATGGAGATCAGTTAGTATTTGAATGGAAATCAATGAAAAAGCTTGTTATTTTCATGAAATAGAGGAAAAAGATCCTCAGCTTAATTGGAAATTTGAGGAGAATAATGTCTTCGAGTGTTATGGA